CACACACAAACATACATGCACACCATGGGTCGTCAAAATGTATATTTCTGCATTTGCATATATGCAAAAACGCATAAAAACGAGCCACTGAAATCGACAGGGAGCGCGGTGCAGAAAGCGACCCATTGTCATTATTCGGGTTGCGCTTGCTTTAATTCAGTGTTGCGCGTTCGTTTCGTTTCCTGAAGCTCAGTGGCTGTTGCGACAAAACTTTAACTGTTCCGAGATGTGTCATTGGCATGTATGTTCGTGTATGTATGCGTGTGTGTATGTGAATGTGTCTGTGTCTGTGTGTGTGTATGTGAATGTGTCTGTGTGTGTGTATGTGAATGTGTCTGTGTGTGTGTATCTGTATGTGTCTGTGTGTATGTGTCTGTTAAACATCACCATTTTGCTGCGAAAGCTGCGCTCTCGAGACTACGATGAAGTATCTCTTATCAGCTAAGAGGTACACTGGGGAGCCTGGTTTTTGACTCGCCAGATTTGGCGTGCATTTTGCAAATGAACAGTCTGCCGGGTGGTCTGTACGGTGTGTGTGTGTGTGTCTCGGTCAGTTCATTGTACTTGATTCATGCACTTGTTCTCAGAAGTCCCCTCCAGGCGAGTTTCACTGTTCCAGGCGCTGCTTCTGATGAGGCGGAAGAATTTGATTATTACAGAACTTATTCAAAATGGGGAAGCATAGTTGATTTTTAAAAAATTTTTTTCTATAAATTCGGTGGGATTGTGTTGTTTGATCATCGCGTTTCTTCTTGCCATCGATACGGCTGGCAGTCTCTCAAATCGAGAAATATGTGAGCAAGAACAGGACTCGGGAATCTGAGAAGCTGGAAGGCTAAAATCATAGCATGATGTTCCCCGTCCAAGTAGGTGTCAATGAACTGAACTGAAATCCATGCCCCGGGAAAGCGTGAAACAAAGTTGAAATAGCTTGGAATAGCTGTGGAAGTGTTCTTCGTTTTTGCATGGAATGCCAAAACTTACATCACTGTGCCTACACTTTCAGCCGGTGCCATAAACTGATGCCCTAGGAGGCGATACAGGGAAGGATGAAGAGTTTGAACGTGGTCTCGTGGCATTATCAGACACCAGAGCGACGGGCGCTGAAGCGAAATCGTCTCGGACCACCGGATGTCTATCCGCAAGATGTAAGTTCGTCATTTGCTCGATTTCCCAGTCGATTCCTGGCCAGTTGCTGGGGAGAGAAACCGTGTAATTCTCTGGTTTAGGAGCAGCAGAACGCTGAATTCTTGGCTGATTTCCACTCCCTCCCTCACTTATTAGCTCTGGGAGCTAGCTAAAGTGAGCGTCTAATTTTCCTGTGATATGAAATATCCACTGGTTGGCGGCAGTGTGGCGCGATTTTGCTTTTCTGTCTCT